TCAGCTTGTCTATTTTCATTGGAAGGGTGTTTTATATAGTAGGTCCTAAGCCTAACGGATAAACATAATCGTGTGGAAAGGGGACACATTTTCCTTATTGACTAAGATACAGATAAAACTATGAACAAGCCGGGTTCCAAGAACGACCGAGTTTACATCCTGAAGCCACTCGTCGCTAACGACGACCAAGTGCCATTCGACATCTTCCAAAGGAAGTTCACAAGCAGGTCCTAGCGGGCTACAATAACAACAACAAGTCGGAAGCGCTCTATATATGTTACTTATTTTCTTATAACGATTTTATTGAAACAATTGATTTTTTCTTTAATAACACAACACAATTTAGTTTTAACTAATTTAATAAATAAAATTTATTTATGTGAGTTTGTATAAAAATCATAAAGTTGTAAACTTATCAATAAATAAGATGACTTAAGTTAATAATTGTGCACATATAAAAATTGAGATATCAACAAAAATGAACAACTATAAACTAATTCCGAATTTAAGCTATTAACAATAAAGTATTTCGTCAGAATAGAGACGATTTTTATTTTTGATTTAACGGTTCAGTACCGAAGGAAAACTGAATGAGTATAAAATTTATTTAAGTTAAAATAAAATGAAAAATCAACAAAAATCGTTAGTCAACAATGTTTGCAATAAATAATCTCATAAATTAAGAAAAAAAAATACATAATTAGTAATATAAACGCTTAGTTAATAACAGAAAATTATTTTTAAAGTACTTTGTACTTACGAAAAAAGCATTTGCAAAATCAAAACCAAAAATGCACTTAAAAGCGATCTCAAAATGCATTGAGGCATTGCAAAATGAAGTCGAATTGCATGTACTACTGACTGCATGTGCATTTGGAATGTGTTTAGGCATTTACTGGCTTTGACGACTATTTAAATTACACTACATTTTTTACTCCTACACATACGTTACACTTTGTTTAGACAAACTAAATGAACACAAAAGACAAGTGTTTGCTAGCACTTGGACCAAACTATATTACTAAACCAGATTTTTTGTAAAAAAAATTTAAATAGTTTTCAATTGTAATTCAATTGTTACCTTATCTGAATTCAGTAATGATTATTAGCACCGTAAAACACTTTTTATCCATTCAGACATTTCAATTTCGATGACATTATCTTGATTGTGATCTTTGCGTTGAAAGAAATCGAATGCCGCCGTTAGATGCAGTACCGCCAGTGCAAAATCACTCAAACGCAAAGTGCCGTCTTTTCGTATGAACCGATGCATCAGACAGTTCATAATATCAGTGCTTAACTGAAATCCTACATCGTATAGAGCATCACGTAGACGTTCAGCACGCAAAATGCCAGCCTTCTCCTTGGTATAAATCTTAAACACACCTTGCCATGATTTTAAATTCACCATAAACGTCTTGAATTGCAAGAAATTAATACGTCCACTGCCAGTTTTGTCTTGCAGTGCTATAACCTGTCGACATATGTCCAAATTTGCGCAACCTTTAATATAATCATTCGGTAGACATGCTTCCAGCAGTTCATGTAATTCAAAGCAATTTATCGTCTTATTTTCATCTGCCAGTTGCATGAAGACAGGTTCGTATTGACAGACATTTTTGATCTTTGTTGTATCTGCTTCATTTTTAAGCGCTGGAAATGGATCAAGTAGCATTAAGGTTTGCGTCTCTAGCAGCGATAGACGCAGTGGCGCAATACCCAAAATACGTATTGTGAAAGCTGACTCTTCACCTGGTTCATACGTAGTTGGCATTAATACATATTGTCCCACTTCCAGTTGACACCGATAACTTACATGACGTGTATTGCCATAGTCCGAATTTAGAAAACTAACCTGTGTTTTAAAAAATTCTTTAGGTAAGCACTCACTGAATTTATTTTTACTGCCGGTTAGTGGACTTAATTTGTACATCGTAAATCCAATTACTTTGGGTTCAACAGCTGTGTGCTGGTTAAGTGCTAATACAACATCCTGCTTTTCCTGTATACTCAATAGTAATTGTGGATTGATATGAAATGATTCATGATTACGACAACCGCCAGCCGTTACACCACGTTTCCAATGTCCTTGAAACATTTTCATTTGCCAACGCTTTGGACGATCTTGTAAAGTTATTTCATCTTTAGCAGTATCTGCATCTAAATATATGCATTCAAGACTTGAAAAAGTTTGTGTAAATTCCAAGAATGACATCCAGAATTCTCCAACATCTAACTGACCAAATAAGCGATCGCGTTCTTGTACAGAAACACGTTCCCAGGCTTGAGACATTGCTGACCAATCGCCTTCAAAACCAGCACTATTATCAAAAGCATTACAAGATAGTGGATCTTTAAGTCGCACCAACTGCACAGCATCACCAAGTAAGGTTTCAACTTTGTCCAGTGAACACATTCTTAGAAAAAAATAAATAAATAAATAAAATTTAATAATTTTAAAATATACAAATATATTAGTATAAAATGAAGTATTGAAATATCTTACAAGAGTCTATATAGACTCATATAGAAAATATGTACATTAGAAAAATGTGATTTATTTTTTACATTTACTAAAATATTAGCTTAAGACACAAAATATCTTTCCATTACAAAGTCAATTTATTCACTGATAGATAACTTTACTTTTCAACTAAATACAATTTTAAAAAGCATTTACAAAGTTAACCCCTACACTTTACTCGTGCATGCAGTCAATGCTTAACTTATCAAAAAATTATACATATCTTCAAATAAAAAACAATCAAACTGCCAACAACAGCATTAAAGGTGAAGGAAAACTTAAAATAATTCTCATTAGCTGCACTAAAAATAAAATAATTTCATGAAAAGTTACTGTATAATACTTCTATAAAATGTAGCATTGAAAATATTTATATAGAAGTTTTTTACTGCAATTTTTCACGAAATTATTTTATTTTTAGTGCAGCTAGCAAGCACTTTAAAGGTCTTTCTTTTAAATATCTTTAAAGTATTTGTACATTTTGGACGTGATACAGGACTGATGAAGCTAAGAAATAAATTTGTTATGAAAGCATTGGTTTACCAAACACTAACGCTAAGAAAGAAAAAGATACGTCTTGTCCTACTTTTTAGAAAATATTGTATATAAAATATCCACATGTATTTTATAATTAATTCGACATATAAAACTATCATATATTTGATACATATATATAAAACTTTACTGCTAAACTTCATGCCAACGTAGGTTAAGTTTGGTTATATGCTGATCGTAGAGATCTATTTTTTTTTGTTTTGTAATCTGGATATAGCGATGCGCCAAGCAATTAATCTTCACAAAAAAAATATGTCTATCCTCAATGTGTGCGCTAACTGCAGCTTTTCATCTCCTGACGTCACTATTCAGTTTTTATATTAAAAATCATATAAGTGGGAAAATGTCTTAACCTTTACCCAAAAAAGCCACAACATCCCTATCTATCATTTTTCTTCGTTATTGTTTTCAGATTCTGAAAAGTAAACCCATTAACGAATGACAATGAATATGCAAAAGGAACCTAAAAAAAATTGTGTAAGGGCGTTATATAGAATAAGGGAGTGAATCTGTACTTGTTTTACTTGGTTACCTGCCGCAAGGTTTCAAAAAGTGTAACTCCACATTGAGTGAACATAAGAATGCAAACAATCTTACTGTCTCTTCTCTTTTCATACGACCAATTGCCGCTTACTTCCCACCACTACATAGGAGAAAATACCTGGTATGCGTTGGTTAATATATAGTTACATCATCGTTTTACGTGCTTGCTTTTCAAGTCGCAAGGAGAAATAGTTAAAAACAAATTTAAAATAAATAAATTAATAAATTAAATAAATTAAATAAATTAATTAAAAATCACCCAAAATATTCCAGAGTGGGATTTCAACTTCCCTTTATAGACCACTGGCCATAAACATTATATTCGTGTACAACACTGAAATTTTAAAACCATATCGGATCTTTAGCTAGGCACAAATTCTTCAAATACAGTTGTTTAAGATATGAGTACCTAGCATGTTTAACTGGATGGTGATAAAGCAAATTTAATACACTTAACCCTTCACACAGATGCAGTATCCTCTTCGAGACCATGGTTGTCAGACAAAAGATTCTCAATAGGTCTTCGTCTAATATCTCCCTATAAGAACAACGTCTCCCCCTTGCACCAAGAACTGACCTAGCTTAATTGAGATCAGTTTATAGCCAAGTGTTAAACAGTTACTTGTCACGCATAAACAGGCTCATTTCTAATGTGTGCACAAACTGCAGCTCTACTCCCGGTGACGTCGCCCATCTATTCTTCTGTCCTTCAACGCACATATACCTCCGTTCAATTGATCTTTGGACCCATCCCATCGAAGTAGCTAGGTTTCTCCGTCTGGACCCGGATTAAGGTTCAATTAAATCCCACCCAACTAATGCACCCCTTAACCTCATTCCCCCCTCCAACATTGTAGTCAACATTGTATATTCTTTCATATTATCGTCTTACAGGTCCCAGCGGGTTACAACAACAACAACATGTAAAACACTTCCCTCATCATCCCTACATCTGTGACAAGAGTAAATAAATAGAAAGACAATGTCAATATCTTATTTTTACATTTTAAGTAACGGATTAAAAAACTTATTTGTTGTCTTTATTTCCAAGCCTAGGAAGGCACAAAAAATTATGTCACAATTTCGTAAAATGTTACGGAGTGAGTATAAATTTATTTGAATTTTTTTATTAATTTATTTAATTGGCTTACTGAATATAAAATCTATTGCAAAAATTATCAGACATTAGAGAATATGCTTCCGTTTTTTATTTATGTTCGTAAAAAATTTTTATGGTTCTTAAAAATTAAGAATAATTATTCATAATGTGACCTTTTTAAATTGACTCTATTTTAGCTTCATACCGTAATTTTATTTATTGATTTCATTATTTATCAATTTTATTCTTTATGTGAATTGAATAGTGAATTATGAATTCAAGTCACGTGGACAACGCTAGTTCTTCTGTTGAAATCATACTAATTTATTTGGTATTAATTTAATTAAAATTCTGCTTGAAATGAAATCGCCTACATAAGTTTTTCTTTATCAGATTTTAATATTGTCGCATTCGCATTCAAATTTTTTATAAATTAAATTATTAAGGCTAACCTGTAATTGACATTGAGCGAGATTCCATTCGGTAATCTATCAGGTGTATTTTTATGCTGTGACGCTGTACCAGTTGCAGCAATGCAGGTAACAATGCATGTTGTGTCTAAGTGGGTTTTAATTTGCTGTGGTCGAAACATCTCATTAGCATTATTCGATTTTAATGGTATACATTCAACGACACCACCCAAGAGATCGCTTAAACCATCGGAGCGTGTACCATATTTCAGTGCTTCATATGATCCATGCAGTTTAGCTATAGCTTTCTCCAGCAATGACGCCCAATAACAGTGTGATGTTTGTGGCTGCAGAAATGCTAATCTACCATTTATTGTTGGTAAGCGATCATCTACTAAAACCTCAACCCATTCGCCACACCACCACAATCTGAAGCGGAAAATACCGTGTGCTTTATCTAAGCTCTGATCCGCTGGTACGACACGATAAAATAAATTTCGTAATGAATGTAGAACCCCTAAGCACGAAACAAGCCAACGATCACCCATTTTTCCTGGTATAACATCAAAATTTTCACCCTCATTTACGAAACATGCTTGCGCTTCTGCAAATTCTGAAATTCTTCTCCATTGAAATGTGAACGGGGGCGTTTGATAATAGAAAACTGAGGATTGCACAGCTGCAAAATCTGGATCTTCCCACAAAGCACCTTTTGCTCTACATTCGCTTTTGATTCGCTCATATTTGGAGGTCATCGTAAATTTTTACGCTTTCGCTTTCCTCCTTATAGGGCGTACTAATTTCACACGTACCAAATAAATTTTAATGCGCATGCGCCTGCGCCACGTTTTATAAATACACGTATTTTGATCAAATATTTTTAAACAATTAAATTAAAAATATATTTTATTAAAGTCTCGCTAAACTTTAACAAAATTTCTACCACGAAAACTGACAAAGTGAAAGTTAACAAAAATAAAATAACACACAAGATGAGAAAATGAAATGAAAATAATAATACAACCGCCGCGCAGAAGTGATCGATGATAATAAGAAACTTGGCAGCACTCTTTCATTCGTAGAGTTGCAAAATACATACAATCGCAAATATTACAGTTAAATGCGAATGCTTTACTTTATTTATTTATATGAGAGTTAACATTAAAATTATTTTTAAAGTTAACTAAGAATGGAGGACTGGACTGATACGCTATACTTTATAATATAAGTAATATATCATAAAGAGGTTTTTCAAACAGTGGTGAAATACAATAACAAAAATTTACTTTTATATTAGTTTAATTTATTGAATTTTTGACTGACCATACAGCTGTTTCAAGTATTGCCAAATACCCATCATCAATAGTCTCGGAAATAAAAATAATTGTAAATAATTTATTTAGACTGTAAGTATCTGGGATTGAAGTCGTGTGTTGCCAACTTTAAAGCTCAGAGTCAGCGCTCAATAATTCACTTGCTGTGTTTATATTAGAACGAAATCATAAACCAGCTGTAAAATAATTGAATTAATTAATTATATTTTTATTTTTAATTGTTAAATTTATGTATAGAACATAATCGAGGAATATGATACTGAGAACGTCATGCTAATGTTACTCCTCGAGTCGCACGGGCGAGACCAATATTTTGTGAATATAAGTTGTAATTTAAGTAATATATGTAAAATAATTAATTTTATTTAATAATTTTATAGATGTAATTATGTAAAAACGTTGTTGTGAACAAACATGAACCTTAATTAATAAAGAGATATTACTTGGCTAGTAGTAAATTAAGACAGCAAATTATTTCTTTTTAATTAATTGAATTTTTAGCTGACCAAACAATTGTATGATTAATACTAAATTGACAACATCAGTTCTATTTTTGGAAATATTTCTTATATCTAATTATTCGTAAACAATTTTTGAGACTGCTAGCACAAAGAGTTGAACTTATACTTAGACTCAGTGTTAATTAGCCAATTGATTCAAAATTAATTAAATATTTTATTTTTATTGCATATGACGACGTTTATATGAATTTATTTTTTAATTAAAAATTATTTTTTTCATATGCCAAAAAAGCTATTTAAAATAGGAGGAAATAATAAAAAAATTTCCAAATCCAAAAAATTTTTTTTTGTTTCAATCAATAATTTTTTAAGACAGCTGTATAGTTGTTTTAAAAATCATCAAATTACCTTTATTACTGGACATTTATTTATTATGCCTTACGTTCATAGAAAAAACAATTATTTTTCTGTATATGTTTAAACAGAGGTAATGCATAAAAGATAACTTCCCTATTAAGTGAATATATAATGCGTGCATAATTAATATATTTACACGATCGCAATAAACTTGACAAATGTGCAGCAATAAATATCATTTTCATACAATATCTATACAAATATGTACCAATAAAGTTTGATAATTGTAAGTTAAGATAGTATTTTAGTACGTTTAATTTCATATTGATTTTTTTTGTATAATAAACTAAACAAAAAATGTTTAATGAGTTTTCTTTACTTTGACCTACACACAGAGAAATTTATTAGATTTGAACATTACTAATACTAACCCAGTTCGTCTTTATAATTATCTAATGAAATATACGCTCTATGTTATTTAAACAGAAAATAAAATTTCTCGACAACTAGCACTAATAGGAAAGTACTATTAGTCTCATTTAGGAACTTACTCATTTATATTAATGAGTGAATGTTCACATTATAATGAGCTCATTTATGCAGCTGATAGAACTTTTATGGATTTATTGATGTTGAGCTTATTAATATGATAGATTTGTGTATGGTAAATTATCCTCATTAGTGACTATAATGAGCAAAACCACCTAAATGATAAAGTGTGATGTGATAAATATGTTATAATTAATTACATCTTTCTAATCATGCCATGGAATATTTTCAGTGCAAAGCTCACATACAATCTTGTATCCTTGTAATAGTAAGCTTATAAAGAATCTAATAGCTTGTATAAAATCAATACTTGTTCAAGTATTTTGCCAGTGTTTGGGGTTGCTTGAAGGCTCATTAAACAGTTTGTTTAAGATCATTTTTCATTTTTATTGAGTCTTCT